TTCAAATTTCTGCATAGAAGAGTAGCTACAAATGACTTCCTTCTTAAGATAGGCAAAAAGGAAACAGACTCCTGTTCTTTTTGCGCTGGTTCCCCAGAGACACTTACGCATCTTTTTTGGCACTGTAGACCAACTCAGACCTTTTGGAATAATGTTTTGCAGTGGACCTCCGAAGAGCTTGACTTGACCAACTTGAACATTACCCCCTTTTCGCCAGCTCTTTGTCTCGGCATAATCGACAACATATCCAATCTTCTGCTACATCACTTCCTCCTCATTGCTAGACATTATATATATAGTTGCAAACTACGAAATACTATTCCTATGGTACAAGTGTACACTCAGTTAGTCATACGCTCCATGGAAATTGAGAAACAGATTGCGTTTGATAATAATAACTTAGCCTCTTTTAGGAAGAAATGGTCTACTTTTAAACAATGCCCCTCAGAATATAATTTGACCAATACAGTTAATTAAAGTACAAGTGACAAACGGGCAGATGGGTGATGGAGGACCATAAGGCAGGCAGCCTTCTTTTAATTGTTAATATATAATCTATAGTATTTTGGTGGACTTTGTCCTTCCTTTTCTTTTTCTTTTTTTCTTTTTTTGTAAACGATAACAGTTACCTGTGATGAATTGTAAATGTAATGTATTGTAATTGTTTGTGTGTGCGAAATAAAATAAAATAAAATAATAACAATAATAAAAAAAAAAGAAACTCCGAGTGATCACTGTAGAATTTGCTGTTGCCTTTTTAAGGTCCAACTTGGAAATAGCTCAATTTCATCGGAAAACTTGTTTAAACCGTCGCAAAGAAAGGGTTTGTACGGAACAATTCTCGCAAATATTCGCAGATTGGTAGGAGTAGAAGTTGTGGAAAATTCAAAGCTTTATTCCGATCGTGTGCACAATCCTTGCGCCCGAAAAATCCGTAATCTAGGATCACTGTTTGAGCTCACTAACACTGTGATAGAAAAAGAATCTATGTGTACACTACACGGTACTACTCCGCCAAAGCAAGGTACTAACCTGTACAAGCGGCTACTCGATACCCCGCCAGGAAAAAGTCCTTCTCGCAAGACCGTGCGTGTAAATTCCCCCGTCTCAGCGATAAGGGCTTCTAGAAAATCTTTGCGATTGGAGCTTCAAGAGAATCCTGCCTGAACATTGACGATCTGCCAGGACGTGATCTTCAAGTGAAAGTTACTATGGCCAATTCATCGGGAAATGCTACTATCAGAATTCCCCGCGATGATGAAACCAAAAGGTTGATACGACAGATGTTGCATCATCGTTCCCCGCGATGATAAAACCAAAAAGTTGATATGACAGATTGATCATAGAATTTGTGGGTAAGTTTCTAGTATCCCGAACCACCCTCTTAGAGCTAATTTCCCTGAGACTAAGATTACAAGATACAACTTAAGGAATAAATCTCCCGCAATGCCCGCCATTGACACGGACCGTTTTAAGAATACATTCTTTAAAAGAATTGTCTTTAAGTATAATGCAGCTTTGTAAATAGTGTACTTTCTGTATTCGATTTTTGTATTTGTTTCTATGTATATACTAATGTTATTTAGAGACCTATTTTAGCCCATTAACATTGTTATTTTTCAATGTAACATAGGATATGTAATTTTATCTTTTTAACAATAAAGACACTTTATTTATTTATTTATGTGTAATCGTGACCTTATCCGGCCTGATTGACTAGTTTGATTGACACTTATCTGTCAGCAGTACCATGCCGCGTCAATCAGACGCTGCGTTCGTGGGCGAACGCAGTTTTTCAAAATCGTGGGGTTTGCAGGCAAGCGTTTCCTTCACTCCCTTCTCCCTCCCCCTTCACTTCTTTTTTTTGTTCTCGTCCCAATTTTGTCGACGAACTCGCGCGGAAACGCTTGCTACGCAGGCTAATACCAACCATGCAAGGCACCTGAGCCAACACTTCAATCATGACAGCTATAAACAAGAATTAAAAACATCTCAACACAAAGAGTGACAAAAAATTCAAATAAAAGTTTCTTTTTCTTCTATTTTAATCCATGCAACTATTCAATTCTCCCTCTCATGTAATCTTCTTACCCTCCCAATTTACCACTGTGGTCTCTCCATTTTGATTCATAGAAGAAAATCCACCAAACCCCCGCAGCATAGCAAGCCTAAAAGCCATGGCCTCTCAAGCATTCTGTAGAGTACGGCCACTGACCCCTCAAAAACCAGTAAGTTATTTGGTCATACTCTTACTACAGTCTCAATTTTAATTTGCCACAGGGGGAATTCTGATCTGGCAAATTAATGATTAGATTTATTTCTACTTAAGACATGATGATGATTTGGAATCGATCGGAATTGCTAACTTTGCTGTTATCTTACTCTTAAATTACAGAAAACAACAAGGACACTATTGTCATGATATCTTGGCCATGTTGGCACAATGGGAGGAAGAGATCCCCGAAGATGTGGCCCACCTGGACATAAGGTCCACGACCTGGGTGGTACCAGGAACGGTAAGAAATGTGAAGTGGTACAGTCATTTTTACACACTATCAATTAGTTCACTCCAACATACAAATACAACAATAAAAAAACTAATATTTCATTTATAGTCCATTTTGAAAAACACCAGCTGTTATAAGCGTATAATGAATCAATTACTTTGCAAACTTGAAAAGTTACTCGTGTTCACAAAAAAATCACTGTCCTTGACAGGATTTTTTTTAACCCTTTTACAGAAAAGTAACAATCACCACACATTTACAATGTTTACTAGCTGAAGTCAATCATAGATGCCAGAAACCTGTATCTGGTATGGCACCAGGGGAGCCGGCAAAGCTTCCACTGACACCGTTAGACATAAAGACTTTCTGCATGTCATGTGGTAGAGCAGGATTCTCCTTTAAGGAATAACAAATTACATTTTTGGGGGTCTCTTCATGTTCATGGGTAGGTATTATTTCATCATCAAAAAATTTCTTCAACTTTCTAGCACCTTTCAAATAAACATCCTAGCCCAGCAAGCGCCCATCCGGAGCAAGGAAAGAGCCTCATAAAATATCTGAGGAAGGAGGTGGGAGAGGTGGACGTTCTGCAGAAGAAGACTCTCTTCCATCAATACTTCGAACATGTTTTGGGTTGCCTTGGATTAGAAACACCAGCTGCCCTACAAAGTAAGTGACGAGTATTGAAGTTGTGCCACTATAGGAAAAGGTTCAAGAGGAACACACAAAAAGTAACTTTTTTTTTCATAAGACTCAGGTCAGAAGAGGGTGTTTTTTCAAGAGTGGAAGTTACAGCTAGTAATATTTATTAATGCATTTTGCGTGCAGTCAACAAGAATTGGCCTGCTCAAGAATTCACTGGATTTAGCAGGTAATTCGGTCCTTAAATTTCTTCCTTTGACTTGTGGGCATTTAAAAGGGATGGGAAGAACTGAAGTTTTGCTGCCACAGGAAAAGGTTCAAGGGGAACACACAAAAAGTAACAAATCATTTTCCATAGGACTTGCGCCAGAAGATGAAGTGTTTTCACGGGTAGACATTGCAAATAGTAATTTATTACTGTCTTTTGCGGGCAGTCTGCAACAGTTGGACACTGCCCAGGACTTCCAAAGGGCAAAAAAACATGTACATGGAAACACTGGCATCAGGAATGGTAAGAAATGTGAAGTGGTACAGTCATTTCTACACAATCATTCAATTTACTGCAATATACAAATACAACAATAATTGGTATTCCATTTATAGTCCATTTAAAAAAGCACCAGCTGCTTAAAGTATGTTAAATCAATTACGTCGTAAACTTGAGGAGTTACTCGTGTATATAGAAAATAACATGGTCCTTAACAAGATTTTCTTTTACCCTTTTACACAAAAGTAACAATTACAACACAATTACGCTGTTTTCCAGCTCAAGTCAATCATAGATGCCAGAAACCCTTAACTGGTATGGCACCAGGAGAACCATGCAGGGGAGCCGGCAAAGCTTCCACTGACACCATTAGACATAAAGGATTTCTGCATGTTATGTGGCAGAGCATGATTCTCCTTTACAAGAATAACAAATTACATTTTGGGGGGTCTCTGCATGTGGGTAGATATTATTTTATGATAGATTCAACAAATTTTTTCAACTTTTTAGCACCTTTCAAATGAACACCCTAGCCCAGCAAGTGCCCATCCAGAGCAAGGAAAGACCCTTATAAAATATCTGAGGAAGGAGGTGGGAGAAGTGGTACTTAGTTGCGTTTCCACCCATAGTCATAAAAGTTATCTCCACGTTTAGATATTTAGGGGTCCATTAGCATCACAGCCGGAACACCATGGTGTGACCATGGAGATCGCTTTTCTGCCACGAAATGCCAGAGGCGAACAACATGGCCCACAGGTAAAGATAAATAATCCTTCGGTGAATACGAACGTTTACTTACAGTTGGTAATACAAACTTCCTCCATATATAAGCACCTCCAAATATGAGTACCTTAAAAAAGGCCTTTGACAATTGTAGGAAGGGAGAGACAGAGATGTTTAGTTTTTCTCTGCGGAAGCTGAGTTAAAGTAAATGAAAGATGTCTATATCTTTCAGCAGTTTCGAGTTAACATCAGTTTTGGACAAATAGTTAATATTAGTTTCGGAAAAGGAAAACTAGGTATTAACCTTTGATACAATAAATCTAAGCTAGGATTATCGAAAGAAATCAAAAAATATGGTAAGCAATCGGTCCAATCTATATTTGAAAATGTTCCTTCGGTTGCAGTCACGCAAATCCTTGGGTAATTTATTCCCAAAAATGCACTCTTATAGCCAAAACGGATTGTCCTTTTTTGTTACATTCATCTCATTTCTTCGTACAAATTGATAGTCGAGTATTCACATACACCCCGCTGGAAGCTGGAAGCCCATACTGCCCCGTTGCCTTTGGCATTCTCTATCTAGCCAGGCGCGGGGTATTTATCAAGGATCCCATTGAAGCCTGGGAGAGCCAGGATTTCAAATGAGACAAGGAATGCAAGACAAGCCGCTCTTCTCCCAAACAGATACTTCAACACAAACTCTTAAGGTGAGATCATACCGTCCAGTGCATTTGGTTGGGAGAAAACAATGTGATACTAATGTCTACTACTTTACTACACTAACATTCCTTTTTAACCATGTTTCCAAAATTTATTGACTGAGATCACATCTTTCTAATAGAGTTGGCGGGGCAAAGTGTTTTTTTTTTTTGGGGGGGGGGGGGGGAGGGTAGCTTCCTTCATAATATCTTCTTGGTTTTGTGCATACTGATGTGTTCTTTTTCGAACATTCTTGTATTCAGTCAGAACAGCTAAATGCCCAACAAATGGCCATAATGTTCCAGAATAGTGTGCTGGATGCAGGATTTGTTGCGCGGGAGCTCTCACACAAATCATAGAGAAGTATGCCTGCATGGTTTATCAAATATAATGCCCCTAGCGATTCGTGGACTTGTGCAGTTATGTGAAACACTTTCATTTGTCAACACTTATCATTCAAACGTTAACGCCAAAACGAAAAGCAAATGATTGCAATTACTCATGCCACTCGATAATGGCTTTGTCTTTACCAATTTCATCCAATACACTTTGCAGACACTGAATGGGCGGCAAAAGACAAGTAAATCATAACGATCAATAACAAGCACTAAAATTCACTTCGTACAATGTAATGCAGACATTACTCAGACACCTTATTTTGGCACACGGGGCTTCATAGATGGACTGTACAATCAGACTCTTGTTCCCTTCTTTTGGGCTTCGCAACAAGATTTGTGCTGACGGCCGCCATGGAGAAAGGCGGCCACCTTACGGATGGTCAAGTGGACCAGCAACGCTGCTTGGGGGGCTGGTCGGTCACTTCGGGGGTGGTCCACCTGGACGTCAAGAAGATAATCGAACAGTATTCCAACAATGCTGGACTAATAACTCTTGTTAGGTATTGATTGAAGTTGCACATGCGAATAAGAGATAGATACAAACTATGATAAGTACGTACTCCACGTTGAGAACCACAGGTTTTTTAGGGACGACACACAATTATTTGCTTAAAACAGCAGTACTCAAAGAGTTTATGAATATTGCTTAGCTTTACATGTACTTTGATGTTGTTATGACCCCAGTTGTTCAATCAGAAGCAGATGTGCACTTTATGTCATCACAAAACGAATCCGTTCCATGCCAGAAGGGAATGTGGCTTTTCTTGTTGTAATGTTTCAGAAAAAAAGTAATGTTCCTTCTCCCTTATAAGGATTACGCACCCCTGAGGAGAGGCAGCAGAGGCTACGCGGCATTCCAACCGCCTACAATTATAGGTTGGAAGCTCCTGTAAGGGACTTGAAAAGTCAGGCAGATGCTAGTGAATCCTATCCCGAGGAATTGAAGGCATTTGTTGACAACTATGAGCCCTTGAAAAAGGCACGAGGTAAGTTAAGAATGGATTACGCACCCCTGAGGAGAGGCAGCAGAGGCTACGCGGCATTCCAACCGCCTACAATTATAGGTTGGAAGCTCCTGTAAGGGACTTCAAAAGCCAGGCAGATGCTAGTGAATCCTATCCCGGGGAATTGAAGGCATTTGTTG